TTTCCTTGGGGAATTAAACTTTATAGCTGCCCCACTCCCTTTCTTGATAATGNAGTTGTTGTTCGTCGACGATAGTTTCTTTTTGTGAGAGCAAAGAAGGAGAATGGTGAACCCATTAAAACTTTCCTATCCCTCTATGAGAAGGCTTCAAGTCAAATGGTTAATATGTCCAAGTTAACTACTGTTTTTAGCAACAATGTGAAACAAGATGAAAAGTTTGACGTGCTAAATGTATTTTCTTTCCCAGTTGTAAATGATCAAGAAAAATATTTGGTCTTGCCCTCGATAATTGGTCAAACTAAGAAGCAGATCTTCAACTTAACATGACACGGAGTTTGGGCAAATATGCAGGGTTGGTAGGGTTAATTATTGTCTCGAGCTACAAAGGAAGTCCAAATCAATACTATTGCGCAGACGATTCCCACTGACACTATGTCATGTTTAAATTGCCAGTGTTGCTATGACCAGAAATAAACAACGTGACCCAAAAATCTTTGCTTTTGTAAGTCCTTAAAGCTATGTATTTTCGTTTTTCTTCAATGTGGAAAGCTCAGCTAGGTAAAACCCCATTCTTTTCCTGGCGAAGTATTTTAGCACCCAAGCATGTTTTTGAGGCTGGAACACGACAGAGGATTGTTAATGGCTAGAGGGTTTGAGTAAAATCTGACAGATGGATCCCACGACCATATACATTCAAAGCCATCAGCCCTCTCATGAATGTGGATGGGGATATGCAACGTGACAACCCGTATATAAATTAATCATCGACACAGTAATTAGGCCATCAATTATAATTCTATATAATTAAGAATTATTTTTAAAAATTTCAAATAAATAAATGGACCTTCAATATGAATTTCTTACGTTGAAACGAGAAGATTGACCATAATATAACTCATATTTCATGTTAAAATAATAAAAAAAATTAAAAGACGTAAAGTCCAAATAATGTAGAAAATTAGAAAAATAATATATATATATATATATATATATAATAAAGTAAAGTTGAGTTTGAATTTTAGAGACAAAGAGAAGTTTTGATCGTTTTGAGACAAAATATAAATACATCAAACGGATAACGTAATCCCAACATAAAAGACGGTTCAGATCATCTCAAAAATTTTGATCTAACGATTTACAATGAGTACTAAATTTTATTTTTGCACCCAACAATATTTACTTTTTTAATTATTAGATCGTTTCAAACTCTCATCTAACTATTTTCCCTTATCTCATTTCATTCCAACTGATACAAAAACTTTTATCTCTCATCTAATTTTATCTTCCTCTCTTATAACTTTATTTTTCTATCTTATACTATAACTCTCTCTCTCTCTGTCACCCGATACAATCTCCCTCCTCTCTTCCATTTTTAAAAGCAAACTAAGTCTTCTGCCTTATCTCTCCCAGCAACTCTCTCTTTCCCCTTATCTATCAGTCATGCCTCTTCCTCTCTCTCTACACGCAGAAAACACACGTGTTGCGCTATTCTCTCGTACCCCTCTCTTTTCTTTTCTCTCTTCTCTTTCTGCAAGTCGGAGCTACCAAAGACCAGCCACCAGATAACCATCGGAGCCACCACCAAGGTATTCTTCGTATTCCTCCCCCTTCTCTCTCCTTCCCTCACCTCTCTATTTCCTTATCCCTTCCTTCCTCCCTCTTTATTGCCCTCCCTATTATCTCCCTGTACATCCCGCTATTGCTCAGGTATGTGTTCCCTCTCTATATTTCTCCTCCTATTTCTGCTCACACCCACCCACACACACAAACAATGTCAGAGACAAAACAACATCCTGCTGCTGTAATGCAACACACATGAACACGAATACAAACAATTTTCTATTTTTTTCCTTGGGGAATTAAACTTTATAGCTGCCCCACTCCCTTTCTTGATAATGCACATCAACCATTTGTTAAAATTCCTAACAAAACCAAATCATAGAAAACCCACCAATCGAGTAACATATTGTTTTTAAAGTTGTCTTCTTTTGTTTTTATGTAATATTTTTTTGTTGATTAGGTTTTATTTTATCAAGCTTATACAAATAATGAGGCTTGGTTGAAAAATGGTATGCAGTTACATTTTTGCCTATTTTTTACTGCCTTGAAGCTCATTTTTTATATTGGCTATTGGAATGTTGCCAAGATTTCTCTGTTTGGTACCTATAATATGCATTTTTTCTGCTTGGCTTTTAGAAAATTTGTCAAATCCAACCAATTGAGCTACCCTTTAAGAATGCTTTGGTTTGTTTATTTTTCGTGTGCTCTATTTTGCATGAAACTCTTATTCTCTAACTTAGATTATGGGTTTCCAATGAAGACATCAAGGTAATGGAGTATACATTTAATCATTGGTTGAGTCATTGTTTAATTGGTGAATGGCGGTCTTACTATTTAGTTCATTATTAATCTGTTGGGTCAAACAAATATACACATTCACAGCAAAAAGAAAAGAAAAAGAAAGAAGCAAAGATGCACACCGCCTACATTCAAATACAGAGGAGAAGAGGAGTTTTTAAATTCATAGGAGACGAATGACTGTCGTTTATTGAATATTTCTGCTAGTGTTCTTGCTCAATTTTGTAGCATCCTGAAATGCCATTGTACTCACTAGGCTTATGGAAATGGATGCATTGTTCTCTTTTATGAGGTAAGCACTAACAATTGTTTTATTTTTCAAAACAAAAACTAGTTATGGAAATTTCCAATTTTCATATTTAATTAAATCTAAAACAAATTTGTAGCATGATTTATGGTTAAATGAGGGATATTATGTTCTACAAAACAAAGACTAGCTAGTAGTTAACTTAAAACCACTTTTCAAAAGTCACTGATGTTAGTTTGTGAGAAAATACAGCCATTATGTTCTCATTGACTAGTTCTTTAGAGTTGGAGTGCATTTTTTGTCTGTCTCAATTTCAGAAATGTTAATGTTGAACATGATCACCTTAAGTACTGATATTGGGAGAGAATGGAGGGGATTGCAACCTAAAGCCAAGGCAAAAGGAGGAAATTATAGATCACTACAACAACTGTGTTGGACAGATGGGCAGGGGTTTGATTCTTTTGCAGTTCTTTATATATATTATGTATTATTTTAAAACCTTGATAGTCATTGATAAATGTTATCCTACTGGGCTGGTGAGCTCATCTCTATCTAACATTTTTCAAAAATATGAAGCCAGACAGGAGAATAAGCTGAAGGGGCGGTAGATAGAAACTATTATTATTATTTCTATTTATGTTTTGTCAAAAATATTTTAGCCGATCGAGTGGGAANATTAAAAGACGTAAAGTCCAAATAATGTAGTAAATTAGAAAAATAATATATACATATATATATAAAATAAAGTAAAGTTGAGTTTGAATTTTAGAGACAAAGAGAAGTTTTGATCGTTTTGAGACAAAATATAAATACATCAAACGGATAACGTAATCCCAACATAAAAGACGGTTCAGATCATCTCAAAAATTTTGATCTAACGATTTACAATGAGTACTAAATTTTATTTTTGCACCCAACAATATTTACTTTTTTAATTATTAGATCGTTTCAAACTCTCATCTAACTATTTTCCCTTATCTCATTTCATTCCAACTGATACAAAAACTTTTATCTCTCATCTAATTTTATCTTCCTCTCTTATAACTTTATTTTTCTATCTTATACTATAACTCTCTCTCTCTCTGTCACCCGATACAATCTCCCTCCTCTCTTCCATTTTTAAAAGCAAACTAAGTCTTCCGCCTTATCTCTCCCAACAACTCTCTCTTTCCCCTTATCTATCAGTCATGCCTCTTCCTTTCTCTCTACATGCAGAAAACACACGTGTTGCGCTATTCTCTCGTACCCCTCTCTTTTCTTTTCTCTCTTCTCTTTCTGCAAGTCGGAGCTACCAAAGACCAGCCACCAGATAACCATCGGAGCCACCACCAAGGTATTCTTCGTATTCCTCCCCCTTCTCTCTCCTTCCCTCACCTCTCTATTTCCCTATCCCTTCCTTCCTCCCTCTTTATTGCCCTCCCTATTATCTCCCTGTACATCCCGCTATTGCTCAGGTATGTGTTCCCTCTCTATATTTCTCCACCTATTTCTGCTCACACCCACCCACACACACACAAACAATGTCAGAGACAAAACAACATCCTGCTGCTGTAAAGCAACACACATGAACACGAATACAAACAATTTTCTATTTTTTTTCCTTGGGGAATTAAACTTTATAGCTGCCCCACTCCCTTTCTTGATAATGCACATCAACCATTTGTTAAAATTCCTAACAAAACCAAATCATAGAAAACCCACCAATCGAGTAACATATTGTTTTTAAAGTTGTCTTCTTTTGTTTTTATGTAATATTTTTTTGTTGATTAGGTTTTATTTTATCAAGCTTATACAAATAATGAGGCTTGGTTTAAAAATGGTATGCAGTTACATTTTTGCCTATTTTTTACTGCCTTGAAGCTCATTTTTAATATTGGCTATTGGAATGTTGCCAAGATTTCTCTGTTTGGTGCCTATAATATGCATTTTTTCTGCTTGGCTTTTAGAAAATTTGTCAAATCCAACCAATTGAGCTACCCTTTAAGAATGCTTTGGTTTGTTTATTTTTCGTGTGCTCTATTTTGCATGAAACTCTTATTCTCTAACTTAGATTATGGGTTTCCAATGAAGACATCAAGGTAATGGAGTATACATTTAATCATTGGTTGAGTCATTGTTTAATTGGTGAATGGCGGTCTTACTATTTAGTTCATTATTAATCTGTTGGGTCAAACAAATATACACATTCACAGCAAAAAGAAAAGAAAAAGAAAGAAGCAAAGATGCACACCGCCTACATTCAAATACAGAGGAGAAGAGGAGTTTTTAAATTCATAGGAGACGAATGACTGTCGTTTATTGAATATTTCTGCTAGTGTTCTTGCTCAATTTTGTAGCATCCTGAAATGCCATTGTACTCACTAGGCTTATGGAAATGGATGCATTGTTCTCTTTTATGAGGTAAGCACTAACAATTGTTTTATTTTTCAAAACAAAAACTAGTTATGGAAATTTCCAATTTTCATATTTAATTAAATCTAAAACAAATTTGTAGCATGATTTATGGTTAAATGAGGGATATTATGTTCTACAAAACAAAGACTAGCTAGTAGTTAACTTAAAACCACTTTTCAAAAGTCACTGATGTTAGTTTGTGAGAAAATACAGCCATTATGTTCTCATTGACTAGTTCTTTAGAGTTGGAGTGCATTTTTTGTCTGTCTCAATTTCAGAAATGTTAATGTTGAACATGATCACCTTAAGTACTGATATTGGGAGAGAATGGAGGGGATTGCAACCTAAAGCCAAGGCAAAAGGAGGAAATTATAGATCACTACAACAACTGTGTTGGACAGATGGGCAGGGGTTTGATTCTTTTGCAGTTATTTATATATATTATGTATTGTTTTAAAACCTTGATAGTCATTGATAAATGTTATCTTACTGGGCTGGTGAGCTCATCCCTATCTAACATTTTTCAGAAATATGAAGCCAGACAGGAGAATAAGCTGAAGGGGCGGTAGATAGAAACTGTTATTATTATTTCTATTTATGTTTTGTCAAAAATATTTTAGCCGATCGAGTGGGAATTATGTAACCGTACGTTGAATATAATAATACAAGGAAGATTATTATGAGTTATGTATGGTTGTATTCCTTAATCATGCCTGATTATTTTTTGTAAAAAAAAAAAAGGGCCTGTCATGCAAGTTAGCCGTTTCATTAACCATGAGAATAAATGATGGAATGTTGATCGACTCAGTGTAACCGTTTTCTGGATTTTGAGGATGACGAAATTTTGGCTATCCCAATTAGTGAACAATTACCCAAAAAAAGGTCAGCCTGACATTATATGAAGTTCAGTCAATTTACAGTTCATAGTGCTTATCATTTGTCTGTTGGGCAAATTTGGTTGGTGGTCATCGTACAGTTTGCTCAACAAGTAGAGATGGTGATAATTGGCCTGGTAAATTTATATGACCTCTTAAAGTGTGGAATAAAATAAAAAAAAATGTGTGGGGATGTTCATATGGAAAAGAGTGCATATGCAATGTAATCTTCATATGGAAAAGAGTGCATGTTTACAATGTTTTGTCATCTATGTGGACATGTGTATGAATTGACAACCCACTTTTTTCTCAGGTGCCCTTTTTTTTAGTGGTGTGGCAATTTTTCAAAATTAGTGTGCCACAAGGGTTGTCTTTGAAAATTCAAGATTGGATGGTGGCTGTTTTTGAAAACCATGGGCTTGAACAAACTTGTTTGTTTCTAGTATTGACACTGGCAATTTAGTTCAATAGAAACAAAGCAAGGATGGATAAGGACACTAGAACGTCGCTTCAAGTTGTCAAATTTTCTCAATAGTATCTTCATCAATTTTTGCCTTCTCAGATGTAGGCTTCGCAGATAAGGACTTCAAGAAATATGCCACAACTTTGTAGGTGGTTTGTTCCGCTAGTGGGGGTCATCAAAATCAACTTCGATGGTGCAATTTTCAAGCCTGATGGCTGTTCAAATGTTGGTGTTGTTATTAGGAACCACAACGGTGATTTTCTTGTGGGACTATGTCAAAAAATTGTTGGGTGTTTGAGTGCAGAGAATGTGGAAGCTTTAGCTGCATCTGTTGCAGTGAAATAGGTAACAAATCTCCCCTTTCAAGAACTTATGTTGGAATGTGATTCAAAACGAGTTATTGAAGTGGTACTTAGTCGTCGTTGGGATTTGAAGACAGATTCAATACCTTATCTGCCTCATGGGTCCATAGAAAAGGCAAAAGTGTAGCTCATACTTCAGCAAAATTTGCATTAAATTATAACCAATCACATCAGTTGGTTGATTGAAGGAGGAGACACTCATTTTTGTTATTTTCTCTAAAAAATTTATAATTCTTTTGTACTAATGATATTCCAATTGTTTCTTTCACAAAATAAAAAAATAAAAAATTGATAAGTTATAACTTGATTTTTAAGTATTGTAACTTTTGGTATTGTGTAGGAAAAAGGTATCATAATTATCCTCTAGATTACTAAATAAGAAATCGAGTTGGGCACGGCTCAGTAGGATTGTTAAAAAAGCTAGAGTTTTAGGCTCCAAATTTTTAGATATAATAAAGAGGGGCTTAGGGATGTCGATATCTCCAAAAGAATTTAATAGGATAAAAGTACACTTTTTAAAACAATTTGGAAAGAAGTCCATCTATTAGGAAAAAGTCATAAAAGCCTTTTTTAGAAGAGGAAGACGAAGATACCTTCGATTTTCGGATCAAAAGCATCGCCTGTTTTCTTAGGCATCAATTACCAAGGAGCCATTAATGTTATTTTTCAAAACCAACATTCAGCTAGTACCATTCCTAAAACTTTTGAATTTCAAAGATTTTGGGATTTTAATCCATATCATCAAATATATCTTCCATATTTGTCTAATGAAATCTTGGATTATAGTCGCCAGAATCGTTGTTTGCAGTGACTGGAATCTTGGACTCCCCATTTTTACTGTCGCTGACATTGTGGGTTGCAAAAAAAACAAAATCGGTGTTCTTACTTTCAAGATCATTTATATGGAGAAGGATGGAGTAGGTGTTCGACGTTGATTTAGTATTCCAATAGTATTTGGGTAGCTTTTTGCCAGAATCTTGGAGCTACTTCGCTAGAGTATTTGGGTCATTTTTAACGGTACTAATTTCAACTATTTAAACTTATTTTTTTTTATTATTTGAATAAGCTCTAATTTGGCTGAAAAATTAAGTTTGGATTTATTTCACCGGAATTATTGTGAATCTTTAGCTCAGCTATATTGGGTCATCTCAAACGGTAAGAAAATCATCTATTTTAAATTTTTTCTTTGTTCAAAAATCCCAAAACATAAAATACACAGCCTTATTTTTAGTGAAAATTTCTTTAAATTTGCTTCATTTTCCATGAATTATAAGAGTTTCAATAACTGTAAGCATGGTGTTACTATATGATGAATCTCTACTGAGAATTCGAACCTCTTCGACGTTGATTTGAGTTTTTGGAAAATCATCTATTTTTAATTTTTTTTTCGGTGAAAGAACCCAAAACATAAAATAACAAAGCCTTAATTTTAATGAGAATTTCTTTAAATTTGATTCTTACTGTTAAATACATTCGTTTTCCATGAAGTATAAGAGTTTCAGTACCTGTAGACATGGCGTTACTATATGGTGAATCTCTATTGAGAATTCGAAACTCTTCGACATTGATTTGGGTTTTTGGAAAATCATATATCTTAAATTTTTTCTTCGTTGAAATTCTCAAAATGTAAAATAAACAACCCTAATTTTAGTGAGAATTTATTNATATGAGTTCAAGCATAGGGAAACAATCGCAGAACAAGAATCTGAACAACCTCAACAAAAAAACGTAATGAATATTAGTCAGAGTAAAGTCAGCAAGAATGTGAATAAATATGATCCACAATATAGATCTAATCAGATTGTCATCATAAGGGCAATGGATGAAATTATTTTCAACAAAGAGCACAAGAGAACGATGAAAAAGACCCCATTTTGATTGCCATTTGAGAGCACTATAGGCAAACATGTTGACAATAAATGGTGCAAAAAGAGTGACAACACTATACTTGATATAATTTTATGTTTCAATGGGAATACTTCCAGATTTTTTATAGGAGCCGAAGAAGTAAAAATGCGGAAAAATGATACGAGTCTGATATTTGGGATTTAGGACGATTTCGAAGAAATTGACCTAACATTAAATGGGAGGTGTTGACTCCATTCACACTAAGTATCAAATCTATGAATTCAATGAATTTTATTTTATTTTTATGGTTGTATTAGTTCTAATGTCACTAATTGAAGTCACTATTTGTTGTCACTCTTTATTTATCATTCTTTGTTTGAAATGTGTTCTACAAGATGTCACTATATGTTACTTTGTTGTCATTCTTTTTGAGAATTGTGATGTACAAAATATCACTATATACAATCATATTTTGATGTCACTCTTTGGTATCTCTTTTTGATGTTACTCTTTGATATCACGTTCATTTTGGACTGTGTTGTTTATGGTGTAAAAAAATTACCATAGTTTCTTGAGTAAGCACTGCTGAGACTGAGAAATGTACACTCAATTCCACCTTTCTAGGAATAGAAAGAGAAAAATTGTGGAGAGAGAGAAAGAGAAAGAAGAGGGGAGAAAGAACGAGTTTGAGAGAGAAAATAGGGGGAGAGAGAGTGAGAGATAATAACAAAATATTAATTTCATTTAAAATTTTAAATTTTAAACTATAGATAAGACTGAAAGTCTCAAATCTAATATTTAGATATTTGAAAACATGTAAATTAAGAAGAGAGAAAGAAATAATAGGGGGAGAAATAGAAAAAAGGGAGAGCGAGAGAGATAATAATAGAATATTAATTTTGTTTAAATTTTTAAATTTTAAACTATAGATATAGTCCAAGAATATTAAAAGTCTCAAATTTAATATTTAGATATTCGAAAACATATAAATTCGGAAGAAAGAGAGAGTGAGATAAAATAAAGGGAGAGAAAATAGGGGGGAGAGAGGAAGAGAGATAATAATAGAATATTAATTTCATTTAAATTTTTATCTGTAGATAAAGCCCAAGGAATATTGAAAGTCTCAAATTTAATTTATATAATAAAGTAGTTAGATTTCTTTCTCGTTTGCTTTTTGCAACTCAGATCTTTTGATGATTATTGATCTGACGGTTCTCATCCCAGAGTTTCCTAACACTCTTATCCATCGTCTAACTCTTTTCCCTTATCTAATACTAATTAATAAAAAGACTCGTAGATCTCATCTAATTTTATCTTTCTATCTTATACAATCACTCTCTCTATCAACCGATACACTCTTCCTCGTCTCTTCCATTTTTAAAAGCAAACTTTGCCTCCTTATCTACCTCACCCTAAATCTCGCTTCTCTCTCTCTCTCTCTCTCTAACTGTGCACGTGTTTTGGGTTTTTTTATGTATTTTGTGTGAGTGTGTGCTTGTGTGTTCATGTGTGCCTGTGTGTTTTGTGTTCATGTGTGTGTGTNAAGAAATTGACCTAACATTAAATGGGAGGTGTTGACTCCATTCACACTAAGTATCAAATCTATGAATTCAATGAATTTTATTTTATTTTTATGGTTGTATTAGTTCTAATGTCACTAATTGAAGTCACTATTTGTTGTCACTCTTTATTTATCATTCTTTGTTTGAAATGTGTTCTACATGATGTCACTATACGTTACTTTGTTGTCATTCTTTTTGAGAATTGTGATGTACAAAATATCACTATATACAATCATATTTTGATGTCACTCTTTGGTATCTCTTTTTGATGTTACTCTTTGATATCACGCTCATTTTGGACTGTGTTGTTTATGGTGTAAAAAAATTACCATAGTTTCTTGAGTAAGCACTGCTGAGACTGAGAAATGTACACTCAATTCCACCTTTCTAGGAATAGAAAGAGAAAAACTGTGGAGAGAGAGAAAGAGAAAGAAGAGGGGAAAAAGAACGAGTTTGAGAGAGAAAATAGGGGGAGAGAGAGTGAGAGATAATAACAAAATATTAATTTCATTTAAATTTTTAAATTTTAAACTATAGATAAGACTGAAAGTCTCAAATCTAATATTTAGATATTTGAAAACATGTAAATTAAGAAGAGAGAAAGAAATAATAGGGGGAGAAATAGAAAAAAGGGAGAGCGAGAGAGATAATAATAGAATATTAATTTTGTTTAAATTTTTAAATTTTAAACTATAGATATAGTCCAAGAATATTGAAAGTCTCAAATTTAATATTTAGATATTCGAAAACATATAAATTCGGAAGAAAGAGAGAGTGAGATAAAATAAAGGGAGAGAAAATAGGGGGGGAGAGAGGAAGAGAGATAATAATAGAATATTAATTTCATTTAAATTTTTATCTGTAGATAAAGCCCAAGGAATATTGAAAGTCTCAAATTTAATTTATATAATAAAGTAGTTAGATTTCTTTCTCGTTTGCTTTTTGCAACTCAGATCGTTTGATGATTATTGATCTGACGGTTCTCATCTCAGAGTTTCCTAACACTCTTATCCATCATCTAACTCTTTTCCCTTATCTGCTACTAATTAATAAAAAGACTCGTATATCTCATCTAATTTTATCTTTCTATCTTATACAATCACTCTCTCTATCAACCGATACACTCTTCCTCATCTCTTCCATTTTTAAAAGCAAACTTTGCCTCCTTATCTACCTCACCCTAAATCTCGCTTCTCTCTCTCTCTCTCTCTCTCTCTCTCTCTCTCTCTCTAATTGTGCACGTGTTTTGGGTTTTTTTATGTATTTTGTGTGAGTGTGTGCTTGTGTGTTCATGTGTGCCTGTGTGTTTTGTGTTCATGTGTGTGTGTCTTTGTGTTTTGTGTGTGTGTGGTTGTGTTCATGCGTGTATGGCTTTGTTCATGTGTGTGTGCCTATGTATTTTTTTTGTGTGTGTGCCTATGTGTTTTGTGTGTGGTACAGGTGTGTTTTGTGTGTGTGTACCAATGCATTCATGTGTGTGTGTCTATGTGTTCATGTGTGTGTTTGTGTTGACATTATGTGTGTGTTTTGTGTTATGTGTATGAAAGATTGATAATGAGAGTGGAAGACTATT